ACTGTTTTACATTACACACACAAAAACCCCACAAAAGATATCCACGACAAATTAATCAATGGTACACAGTTAGTAAGACCGACTAATCACACAAGTTTGGGGGTAATGAACACCTTTGAGCTCTCGTTACACAGTTCATTTTGAGGAAATTCTGATGTCGTGCTCCAATTAGAGATTTTCCAAACCTCACAGCTCTGCAGCTTCCTGCCAAGTCTCTGACCTAGACAATTCCCCCTGGATGCCCACGGCCAGGGCCTTGCTCTTGCCCTGGGCTTCCAGGGATTTCAGACCACAGAAAGAAAACCTGGTGTGCAACAGGCTTGTGTGCCAACCTGCCAGCAGAAGCGCTTGTGGGGCACACAGCTGCCGGCAGGATTAATCAGAGGATGCAGTGTGTGAACCTGGCAAAAACAAGGGCCACAGGAGTTTCACACACAAGATCAGAGCCCAAGTATTCAGGCCAGCTGGCCTGAATTGTAAATGACGGGTGTTTCCACAGGCCTGGGTTGGTCAAACAAGGCAGGAAAACATAAACAACAAACCAACAAGCAACTTACTGTCCTAAAAATATAGTCCTAAACCTGATCGTTTCACAGTTTCCGATGCACTGGGTAACAAAATCATTTCATGGGGTTTATATGATCTAATTTCAGGCATAACAATAAAGGATAATATGATTTTTTAAATTGCTACATCAATGCAGCCTTTTTCCATAGCTCTTTTAAAACTGCTCCAAGCAATTCATCAAAACACATCTTCAAGGGTAAACAAGCTTTGTCCAAATTCACCAAAACCGGTAAAAAAGCACAAATAACCCCAGCATTTCATAGTCTTGTGTTTTTATCAGATTAATGGAAACTAAGCAAATTCCAAAGCCTTTTCTTACAGAGAGGCTGCTTCTATTTTGAATTTAAGTAAAATTATTGATTTTAATCTTCAAACACTATGATAATATAGGATCTTCAGAATGATTTCACAAATCTGGTAGAGTACTTGAGTTTGTATCATTATTTTCAACAGAGTCAAGTCACATGTTAATCATGAGACTGATAAGACTATTTTCTGTGTTGCATGATTAGCTCCTTGAAAGTGCACTTTACTCATTTTCCTCCAAAATGTATTTCTGTATTCAATTAATTGCTTTATATATAAAATACTAGTAAGCCAGGGTGTCTTATTCTCCCTTCCTCCTCCCAGCCTTTTTTCCCCTTGCTACCCTAGAGCTGCAAGGCTTGATCCACAAGCACAGGGCAGCAGGGGTGTCTAGCACATGGCCTTGCACATGCCAGGATATTTATAAGATCAGATGCCGAAGGAGAGACCTCTGTGCTTTATTCTACACTACCCAGTTGGATGTGTATATCACATATTTTATCAGCAAGTAGCACATCAGATTGCCCAAGACGCTTTGTAAAGCCAACTCACTTTACACTTCATGTTACCATCTGTCTCATATCCTCAAAAAGAAAATATTGTGAGCTCTGAATAAAAAAATAATAAAAAAAAAAAACAGATCAAAACTTTAGTTGGACTGAACAACAACAAAAAATACATAGGAAGATCTGAGAACTGGTAAGAAAATCTCATCTAGCTACAAAACAGATAAAGAACTGTAAAACTCTGGGTCATGAAAAGCACTGCCCAGAACTTTCCTTTTTTGTTAGTCCAACACTAAAATACAACTGTATATTATTCAGGGTAATCCCCTATTAAAAAACAACAGCTTATTTAACACTAGAGCTTTGACAGAACCAACAGCTCTATAACATGAATAGTTTAGAAAAGTGATATGTTTTAACAAAGGTATTAGCGACTGTTTACCCATTTTGTGCTTTACTTTCAATGTTTTTGGATAATTCAAGTCATATGCTACCATTAACACTGTAAGTAAACTTTCAGCTCTACAGTATTTTCTTCTGTTTGGGTAGCTGAAAGAAGCTGTAGTTCTGACTCACCCTGAAAAAAAATCAAGTTGCAAAGGCAAGATCTTCTAAGTAAGAAAGCTACAATGAATCGACTTTTGAACAAGTTCTATCCCCAAATCACTTTTTTTTACATGTACGCAGTGCTGTCTCATAAGAATATTTATCAACTTATGCACATAAAGCTGAGAAAATAAAGGCACTCACTGACAGCAACTTGCCATATACAAACATATAACAGAACACAACATCAACTAAATTTATTTCTCTCTGGCCATTTCTTACTACAAAAATGTCATTTTAATATCTATTTTGTTAAAAGACTACTGAATGAATGTATTAATATTGTTTATTATGAAAGCATCTAATACAATACAATTAATATATCAGAAATATCAACCCAACATGTGATTTCCCAAAGAGACTGACAGTATTTTTAGGAGATGACTTAGGCAAAACCTTGCAATGACCCCTAGCTATGAGCCTAGCATGTTCCAGCTCAGTGAAACAGGAGCTGCACTTAGGGTAGCAGAATTTTTGCCCCTTACCCCTCTCTTTTTTCTGCACTTAACAGGGTAGGGAGCTACATGCAAAATGGGTTTTACCCTTGGCCCTTTGATCAGTTTGACACATGCACAGGCTGCAGACAGGGAGAGGGAGCAGGAAAGCACGCGCACACACACACACACACATACACACACAGACACGAGCATGACCCCTTCTAGGGACTGCCCAGCACCAGCAGCACTTGATTTTTTGTTGGTGAAATCAGAATATGTAATAACACTGCAGCATACAGAGGAAAAGGAGGAGATAGGAAGGTGTAAGTGAGCAGCAATCTCAGATACTTTATCTACACATCAAGGTTAGATGACAAGCAGTTAGATGACAAGCAAAACTTAGACCCAAAAAAGTGCAAGCAGGGACAAAAATCAGACACAAGAACAGGAAACATGAAATCAAGAAACAATTTGTCCCTTTTTATAAAATTTATATCTTTAAAAAAAATCTTCACGTGAAAGCATTATACCTACTCTCATTCCGTTAATATTTATGTAGACACTAACTCACAATTAAAATTAAGCAGGTGATTAAATCACGGTTGCAGGCAGTGTGAAAAGGCTGCGGGCCCGCTCACGCAAATAAAGCCAGGTCCCGGTCCTGGACCCACGCGCGCAGCAAAGGAGCAGCAACAACCCCGGGGAGAAGCTGCGGCCCGGGACAGCGCCGGGGAGCAGCGCGGCGGTGGCCGAGCCCGCCCGGCACCTCCACGGCACCGCAGCCGCGAACAGCAACGGAGCGTCCAAATTTTGACGCACGACAATTTGCAGCGTGAGGCATCGTAACTCAAAAAAAAAAAAAAAAAAAAACATGTTTTTGACATGTCTTACTTTTACAGTGACAAACAGAGGCGTTGCTATGCGGCCGGCACACGCAGCACGGAGGGCAGGCGGGGAGTCGCTTGGTCCCTCGGCCGCTCCCGCTCGGCAGCCCCCGAGCGAGCGGTCGCACGGCTGAACTCGCCCCGGGCGCCCCCGGCCGCGCTTGGCTCCCGTTGCGACTCTGGCGGCACGTGCGGCAACGGGGCCCGCTCCCCCGCTCTGCCTGACGGCGAGAGCAAGGGGTTTCCTTTCACACACACACACACAAAAAGCTCAATTTCACACTAGCGATAGCGCAGGCAGGGGGAGCGGCGAGCGAGCAGCGCAGCGAAAACGCCGCTTTCGCACCAAAAACGACCCCAGGCGCAACACCCCTCCTCCTCCCCCCCACCCCGGGCAAGGAAGCAGCGCAGCGGCCGCGCCGCCCGCGAGCAG